TCAGTGTCATTTGTGGAGTCACAGAGGGTAGTGGGCATAGCTGTGGCAGAGTTCTTCCTGTGGTCCACAACCATCTCCACTGTTTTTAGAGTGTTAAGCTCCAGGTTGTTCTCCCTGCACCAGGTTGCTAGATGGTCAACCTCCCACCTGTAGGCAGACTCGTCATCATCAGAGATAAGTTCGATGAGAGTGGTGTCATCCGTGAACTTCAAAAGCTTGAAAGCCTGATGACTGATGGTGCAGCTTGATTCTTCTCATACGTTTGTCAGGTTTGTTTGGGGAGGTTCAAAGTTATTCAAGCTGTGAAGAGGTCCAAGCAGTCAATCTGAAACCATGCTTTGCTTAGACCAGTTCTCTTATTGTGGGAAAAACATTTGGAGTCTGCGCAAACCAATTAACCTCATTCTACCTAATATTGCCTGTTCCATATGTCGATGAATCTTGATTGGCGCATTAATGTGACGTCATGTTTGAACAGGAAACTCAAATTGGGATTAATAGAATTGAGAGTATTGAATTGTTCAGAATGTTTTGTTTTGAAAAAAAATTTCCTCACAGGAACTCCCAATGAAGCAACCCACAAAATCATCAATTAGCACCAATATTTACACTTGAAACTTTGCAGTTAGGTAAGTGTTGTGCTGCTAATAACTATCAAATCCAGATATTCCTGTTTGGATCCTGAACAGAAAGGCATGATCTGTCACTTCATGTTTTCATTGCTTTAGACAGTGATAGAGTTCTTTACACCACTGTATTAAATATATTGTTGAAAGATGTAGATACAGCCCTTTCGTCCATGTCAACCCTATCCAAGGATTTAGGTTCTTTGGTTAATCTAAAGTCCACATGAAGTTTGTGGTGCATTACTGTTGCCATAATGATGGCTACTTCTGTAGATGAAGCATTTCTATATCTACCAATGTTATTTTACAGTACCTACCACTTTGTTTACGTAGTTGTTGCTCTTCTCACTTAAACTAATGTAAATAACATCCAGTGTGATGCTAAGAGTGACCCAAATTTTGTAATGCAGTCTGAATGCCTAGGAGCTGGGGACTGGAGCCTGTACAGTGACATATTTTGAAGGGTGAGCCAACAGTATGGGCAATAAATTGCAGTAATATGTCACTTAAAAACTATAGTAAGACCCTTTAGGGGCATTTAATCCATAACTAAAGCAGGACCTGTTCCTGCTTTTTCAGAGATGGTTGAGAGGAGCTGTTTCAAGTTAAACCATTGATTAGCAGCTCCCACACTTTGAGTCATTGCCCCACTGCAGGATGTAGGGGATTATATAAAGAAGCTTGATTACTCATTGCATTGTTAGTTATTTTCTCTCCTTCAGGGTAATAACAGTTAACATTAACTGAGATATTATTTGTTTTTACAAACCCACATTGCTTTCTATTTAGGTGTGTCACAGCATAACTTTTTGATTTCCAAAAAGATACAGATATTGCACCAATACCGATATTGACTTAGTAGGATATAAGCACAAATTATACATACTGTTATTATTTTTTTTTTAGTTACAAAAAGGTTTGATTAATGGATATTTATCAGAGAACAATATTCTTCATCAGGTATGAGAACAACTGACCACTTGATTATTAAACAATGGGTTGTATTAAGCTTTAAAGCTGAGTGTATTTATCAGTATGCTAATAGCAGAGATTTTAGATGCCAGCTGATATAATTAAATTTAATTTTTTTGCAGGATATCGGACTGATATCCAATATCTATATTGGATTAGGAATTCCCTATTTTTAAGGCTGTGCCTAATCTCTGTCACTCTTACTTTTTAATGGCATTGCCAACAAAGCAGATCAGGAGCTGGTATTAGAGTCTTCATAAGTGTTACAAAAAAATATTTTATTTTATCATTTTATTTTTTTACAACCAACAATTTTTGGTTATGTTGATTTAAATAATATGCCTCTAACCACCTTATTTCCAAGTTTAATAGGCATTGATCTAAAATGTTAGTTACAAACTGGCAGTAAACAGCTAATGATATTTAAAAAGGTAGTCTAAAAGGACATTTTTTAACATCGATTGTAAGCAAGGTTCTCCTCAGTACAATAAGTGAGATAGCACCAGTTATTCAGTTGATATTTTTATAGTATTATTAGGATATTATATGATCTATTTTTAGAATAGTAACATGCATCATGATCCTCAAGACAAAAACACAAAATAAAAATGAGGGAGGGTCAAGTGATATACTTGAAAACAGTTATATTGACCATTGTTACATTGGCTCTTTGGTTGTAACAAGCAAATAGTTTATATTTTAAGAACCATTTTATAACTTGATTAAACACCAGCCCTGGCTGCCCATGAGAGAAGTTCCGTACTACTTATTTTGACCTCAATACCAAATTGTACTTCAGAGACACATACCAATGTAGAGGTTTCTCTGAGTTATGACTTAATATTTTGGACATTTTTTTAAAGACTGATACACAAAAAGTTATTTTATCATGAGGATTTTTTTAATCCAGTGAATAAATGTTACTATCGTTGATGATAAAAGAGAAGATATGCTGTGGCTTCCTTGATAAAAAAAGAAGTTTTAAATGTAACAACAGTTTACTAGTGTGCAAAATGATGCCCCTTATATAGCAAACTCTATGTATAACAGTAAGCTATAACATTTTTTTTCCCGTTTATATCAAAATTGCCACATCACTAAATCTAATGGAATCTTTCATCTAAAAGAATTTTATTGTGTTGTCCGCCTTGTGTTCAGATGCGTTAAAACGTATGTGTAACACTTTGATTTCTGTATGTGGCTCTTTCCTTTCCCTGGGGTTAACTAACATAAACTTAATAGAAGTTATATGTGTTCAAATAAAGAATCATTAATGCACAATTCCTTGTTGGTACCAGAATTTAAGACCTAACTTAGCTATGTCTCCTAACCTCTTGACACATCTCCTTGAAGTTTTTATTTAGACCTTGTAGCCCAGCCATCTTTCTGGTATCAGGTAGCCTTATTCAGGTGCTAGTTTCATTTCATTGAAATTTAAGGATTTTAATCAGAGGCAAAGGAGTTGTCATTATCCAGCATGGTTACAGGTTGTATGGTGCCTCGCATCTATATTTGGCTCTCTTTAGGCGACAATGATTAAAAGTCTCCGACTCCAAGTAAACCATTTCTTCTGCAGAGTCATAATAATGATTTAGATGGTACTAAGTCTTGTATCATCTGCTATTGTAAAGTTGTAAAGTGGAAAATTAAGAGTTAGTTTGCCAGCACTTGAAAGTGACTGACAAGAAATCTTGCACAATAAAAAACTTGAAACTTGCTTGTGTCTATATTTCTGTCAAAAAAGAGGTGGATAGAAAAAATAGGACCTAATGGTTAGAGGCAGTGATGTACCCTGCTAAGGTCGAAACAAACTACCCTGACTTAAAAAGATGTTGGTTAAGCTATTGTTTCCTTATTTTCAATATAATATGGAGTTTAATACATATTTTATATCATTATGATATTCATATTTTATATAAATATTATATTTTAATATAACAACACTGCTTAATTTTGATGAGTGGAACTCTCTTTAAAGCCAAAGTTAAGATCATTTACCCACTAACAGTCTGTAATTTATGCATGTTTCTAGGTAGAATAGTGAATTCTAAACAGTTTAACAAATTAATATCTCACATGGGTTTAAATTGTGCAAAGGATTGGAGGAATGTAACAGGAATTATCAGCGCTAGTTTCAGGAAGTCGGTTTTAAATCTTAGAAGCAAAATAAGGTTTTGACAGAAAAATAACCTTAACCTTGTTGACTAAACCAAATAAGTAGAAACAGTCTTTAAAGTCGAGTCAAAGTCAGAGTTTGTAGCATTTTAAAGAGGAATGAGCCGTCACTGCCCAGCTGTTGCTCAATAAGCCGTAACCTCTATCCATTAGGCCTGAGAAGTTAATAAGACATGAGGCAGACCAGACCCAAGTAAAAAATGAAGGTCATTGAGTCACCAAGCAGGCTGCATCCATCCAGCAGTGCCAACATTTCACACAGCCCACAGGTTCCTGAACCCCAAGCACTCCGATACTGTAATTTACACTGGCTGACCGCAACGCCAGAACCCGACAGGCTGAAACTATTATGAAACCGAAACCTCTCCCAAAAGCTAACGCTTTCAGACGGACGCCATTTGTCTAACACTTAGCTTTTCCACCTCACCTGTTATCATTCATAAGGTTGATCCTGATCACAAAGACAGACATTCACAATTTCATGGCTACTTTAACATCTAGTTATGTTGTTTTTTTTTTGTTGTGCCACACAGAAAACCAATTAATCATCATCGCCTCTCTCACTCACCATCACTCAAATGCCAAACCATTACACTGACAGAACTCTGGATCATTTCCTTGCCATCTTAGGTAATCTCTTAATTGAGTGAGCACTAATTAAAAACTCTTGATTAACAAAATTCATTTACCTTCATCCCTAAGAAACCATCAGTGTGGTTGCATAACGTGTGCAGAAAGCCACTTTCAAATTATTGCAGGTATGAAAATAAATGATTCGCAATGGTGTGTCATTCTGGCTTTACTGTCATGCCAGTAATGTCTGATGCACTGCCATGCTCACACTCTGCATGAAGATTGCATGGTGTAAAATAACTACAAAGTTAAGCAATTATTAGTGTACATATGTAATCTTGTATAGTGAGTAACTGGAAATTTCTGGAATAATCTGAATGTCCCTGAAGCATACAGCTTTGGCATTAGCTAATGCAGTGCCTGCTCAGCAAGTGAGCAACCAAATGCAGACCATACTGATTGTAATGTAGATTCATAGACTGATGATTGCATTTCTTGCTGGGGCTTCTCAGTGTAATGGACCAACTATATATGGGTTTGTTTGTTCTTGAGTGAGGAGGTCCATGGAGTTCCTGCAGGGACTTAACATTAGTTCCATTGATTGAGTCGACCATCTGCCCACCATTAACCCCAGAACCCTCCTTCTCTTTACAGGCTGGACAATTTGCTTAATATGGCCTATGGCGTAAAGAGGTAATTAAAAACTTCTCCCAATGCCAGATGTCCATGTTGACTCGATGATTTTTGAACTTCCTTTTTTTCTTCCTTTTATTGATTTGGTTTTCCTTGTGGTTTCTGCAGTCATTTTTAGTTTGAACTTCGTTGAGGTCAAAAGCATTGTTGTTTTTTTCTATTTTGTTTGATTTCCTTTTTTGTTTTGTTTTTTGCCCGTCGGTTTGAACTGATTCCCTTCCAAGCACATGAGGTGTGACAAACAGAAAACTGTCAGTCTTTGTTTTTAGTGGTGATGAATTCCCTTTGTTTTGATTTTGACAAGTGCTGGTGTTGTTTAAATTGTTTTGGGTTGTGTATGTGTATTTAACGAATTTTGTTCTCTGGTTTAAGACTCATCATTTCTAGGTGTGTGCTTTTATTATTTCATTCTATTACTTCGAAGGGATTCAGGTTCTCCTGCCTTCTCATTTTATAGTCACTCTAGGCACCCTCTTCATTATTATAAAATGCACAATTTTTACTATGTAAGAATTGACAAAATTCTACACTGATCTCTTATATATTTGCAGTTTCTGCAAAAGTTATAACATAAGACATGTGATAAGGTTGGATGAACTTGGATCCCTGCTGGAAACAAGAAATGCTGTTTCACTGCAGACAGCTCAAGCTTTGCTCGGCACCGCTCTTCTCAATTTCCTTCTTTCCCATCTTTCATTTTGCTGTCCTGCTACCAAAGGTGTTACATAACTCAGAGCACCACCTACTGTGGTGATAGATGTTTGATGTGCTGACAATGCCATCTTGCATGCTGCAAGCACTAGTGACAGAAGTCAGTTGAATGAAAGCCTCTAAGAAAATGTTATATTTGTTTATTCTATGATGTCCAAATAAGAAGTGTTATTTATAGATTTATAGTCTTATTAGGGGTGGATGGTTTAGCTTTAGAAGGGATGGAATAGGTATCTGGTCAGCTATACTGTTGCTATGCAACCCCTGGTCTCATCTGTAACAGGTTAGTGTTTGGTCCTGCTTCGTCTAATATACTTGCATACATGTTTTCACACATGTACATGCATGAACACTCCCTCCCACATCCTGACAGCAGACATGTTTAGCAACTTCCATTGAAATAAGCTTTGTTTATGCTTTAACTCGGGCAGGGTAATGCAGAGCTCTTTCTAAATTTAAGAGATAAAAACAGTTTATCTAAAGGTGCATCTGCATAAATTGAAATAAGTAGCTGATTTATCTCAGTAATTGGGAACTTTATCAATTAATCTTATCAATTCTTTTTACACACAGTGATATGTTGTGAAACTGTTTTTTTTTTTTTTATTGGACTTGAATATGGCTTACAGGACATGAAAAAAATGGTTTCCTAAATGAAATATTGCTCAATATTGATCAATGAAAAAATATTTTATAGCACAATTGTTATGCTGTAGCCTAGATTCAGACTACAAATAACTGATAACCGATTTCTTTAATGATATTCAGCAGGTTGTGAAAGTCTTTGCCAAAGGAATTTTAAATGTACAAACTTTTTTAACCGATCATCAACAGAAAGTTGACTGGTAGGAAAAACTAGAAAGGGGTACACAAGTAAAAAGTACCATAGTATCGCTGTACTCTAACTTGTCACCAACTGGCCTGACTTAAACCTTATAGAAAACCTAAGGATACCAACAAGATATGAAAAACAGAACCACCAAATAAAAGATGAGGTAGAAACTGTTGTTAAAAACAACCCAGAGTTCTGTAACACCTCAGCAGAGCCACAAGCTTATCAGCTCCATACCATGATGTGCTGATGAAGTAATTCATGCTAAGGAGCCTCAATCAACTATTTTGATTCTGGATACAGTGTCTATACAGCACAGTATATAGAATATAATATAGATAAATTAAATCCTATATGAGACTCATGCATAGATGTTAAAAAATATTTTCTTTCTTTTGAACTTTTATATTATGTTTTCTGAAAGTATATTTTACTTTGTTTACTAAATGTTTTGGTTACAAATATAAAATCTGACACAATGTTATTTTTAAAAATATCTAGATACACCCTGTATACTTTGTATTAACATGATCTAATCTGACATACATATTTGTAAAATATTACATCTGGCTCAACCAGAGAGCTAACACGTTTGAATGCACATTTTAGATTTCTCACCATTGACCAAAACGCCAGAGGCAGACTCTGCATGACCAAAGTCATGCAGGAAGGTCGCAGTGATTGCCAACCATATATAGACACAGGAGAGAGAAGGCTTGAGGGTCCATGTGGCAAGCAGCACTATCGATCAGTGCCACGAGCTCTGAAATAGAAGAGACCAGAACACCCTGCAGGAGGGGGAGGAATACACTTTGTACCTTAATGCCACTGGGCTGTAAAGTGCTTCCATTTTCCATTTAGTTTGCTCCCCATTTCCCCCGCCTCTTTTTTTCCTTGAGAAGGCTCCTACTCCCAGACAGCTGCAGTAAAGCGGAAATCTCGATTAAAGCACTTCCAATAATGCCTATAGTAGTTTCTTGTAGGGAGCTGGAATAAGAAATTAACCTTTTTATTTCATTTACCTTTTATTTAAAAGTGCCAGGATTTCTTTTCTCCTTTTCCTTTTAGCGGAAAAGCAATTAAGTGAAGTCAACTGAAGAATCAAATCTCTTGCATCGTAAGAAAAAGGGGAAAGATTATGAGGCGAATGAGAACAAATTTAGCAGGCTGGTGCATGATCTTTGATGAATTTCTAGCAATAGTTTGATTCAACAACTTCCTGCAATTTGGCACAGAAAGAAGCCACTTATGGACACAAAGAGAGAAAGTTCATCTGCATGTTCTTCAGCAGAAGTGCAGCTCTGCATAGAAATCTGGGGTTTTATGACAGCTCTGTGCTCATACTACAAACCTACAAAATATAATTTACCATATAGGTTCTTTATATAATGGCATAGTATGTAGTTTATCATTCACACTTACAGCATTTGCAGGGCGAAACTGAGGTTTATTACCTGTTGAGAGCAATGATATCGATTTTTAAAGCAGGTTTTTTGTTAAAAGCAAGTTAAGTCTTCAATATTAATCCAGCAAATGACTCCCCAGGTGTCCTCATATATATTCAAATAGGGGCCAGATAGGGGGCTGCCGTCTACCACCATGTTCTTAATTTCAATTAGACGGTTGCACCAAAAATACTCAGCATATGCTTCCCACTATAAGCTTAATTTGAAGGGTTGTCCCTATACAAGTTTGAATTTATGATATGATATTGCTGATTTAACTTTGAGTATTGACAGATACAATATTAACCCAATCAACACCAATCATATCTGCTCTCAGTACTTGTTTTGTATTGTTGGATGTTGGAAAAGGCTTGATGAAGTGATATTACTCTAAAGAAGAATAGTCAACAACTATAGGTATAAGAGCAATTTACCCATTTATTATCAAGCAATAGGTTACCTAAACTTTGAATGTATTTCTATAAGTATGGTTATATCAGAGATTTCAGATGGGGCTAATAAATCACGATATTTGTTTTTTTGGCGGACATCGGACCAATATCAATTTCAGATCCGGACAGCCTTTTGCACAGGAGGTTTTACTACCTAAATAAATGTTCAGTTATAGTCTGTTAAAATTAATTGCTTTGACATTTTTGAGATTAAAGGTTTTTAAGATATTACATGCACTTTGGTATTTACCCTTCTTATACTGGCTATTAGTATTAGTCTTTTAGAACAACTTACCATAATGTAAAATTTGATCTGTTTTTGTCTAAACTATGACTTTTAATTATATTGCAAAGTAAATTTTTGTTAATTTTGTACAAAAAGAAAATCTTGTGCATATTCATCGTAAACTGAGGGATATATTTGAAGTATTTTAGTTTCTCTCAACTGAGGCTGAACATAAGTGGTATCTGTAGCCTGTATCCTGAACAGATTTCTGAATAATGTCCTTTGAAGTTCTGACCTGCTCTGGTCCAAATGTTACGAATACCTTAAAAACCTTTGACTGGGTTTTGCTTGGCAGCACACTCAAGATTTGGTCATTGTTGTCCATTTCCTGACAATTTCTTTCCTTTCACTTAACTCTCTGTCCATACTTTTTGATACAATACTCTGTGAACAGCAGGTTTCTTGTGTATTAAATCTCTTCTGCTGCTCACCCACTGTGTGGGAGAGGCCAGGTTAGCTTTCCCATGATGGTGTAAATCCTTGCAAGCCGAAAAAAGGTTCTTTAAGAATCTATTTTGATCAGTCTCATATATTGTTCAAATGTTGTGAGAAACTGAATTTGAAGTTTCTATTATATGTGCACCATTGCCATATAAATTTAGATTAATAAAATGGTAAATAAATCATTGAAATGTGTCACTGAGCAAAAAATCCATGTAATGTCACTTTTAAAATTGAATAACTGAAATAAACTTTTCATTTGTAGTTTAGTTAGATACACTAGTTTTAAGACCCTAAGAGAGCTTCATTTTGCTTAAATCAGTTTAAATTGGACCTAACTAAAAAATTCTTAACAATCCCTTTAATTGCAGTTAATTTCTCTTTATGTCATAACTGGTTGTGTTAAGACTTACCTGCTTATGTCCTTTCCCACCACTCTGCCTCCTCCCTTAGGTTTTCTCCCATCACCATTGACAGCATGACCAGCCTGGTGGGGATGAACATCCCCGGGCACACGGGTACCGGCTGGTGTATTTTTGTGTACAACCTTTCCCCGGATTCAGACGAGAGCGTGCTCTGGCAGCTGTTCGGCCCGTTCGGTGCAGTAAACAACGTAAAGGTGATTCGTGACTTCAACACCAACAAGTGCAAGGGCTTCGGCTTCGTCACCATGACGAATTACGATGAGGCGGCCATGGCCATCGCCAGCCTCAACGGCTACAGGTTGGGCGACCGTGTCTTGCAAGTCTCCTTCAAGACTAACAAGACACACAAGTCCTGAACTCTCGACAGCTAGAGGGAGACGCCCCGAGCCTTTCTCTGCTCCAAATTTGCCCTCCGACCCCTCCCCTCCACCTCCACTTGTCCCTTAGGTCCCTTCAACCACCACCACCCGACTACAGCCATCCAACAGCAGAATTAACTCCGGAACAGAAAGCAGCCTACAGCCCATCTAACAAATTGAACTATAAATGGCTTATATTATAACTTTGGACCTATAAGCCAATGTTGCCTGAGTATTACAAAAATGAAATGATGAAAATGTTGATACGTTTTTTCGAAGCTCCTGTGATAATGCAGGCTTCTCTTTGTTGTATAATCTTTTTGTTTGTTGTGATTGTTGAATATATTTTCTCTTCTGTGTAAACAGTAGCAAATCCCCATATTTCAGAGAAGAGAACGTCCTTTTAAGATCAGAGCCTTATCTCTGTCTGATTCAGGATTTAGTTTTATTTTGTAAATCCGGATCCACTGTCGTTAGTATTATATACCTCCCTGATCAGTAAAAGGGAGGGGGCTCTTTTTTAAATTGTGAAACCATTCATTCATTTGTAGCGTGTATTTAAAAGCTTCCCCGTATTGATTATGAATGGGATTCTATAATCCCTGTAACTCAGATGTAGAAAAAAAATATTTCTAACATTGTTTTTGTTTTGTATCGCAAACAAAACATAATGTCTTTCTTCACTGGGATTCAGGGAGATGGGGTGAGGGAGGGGATGGGTTAGCTTTCCTGATGACATGTTAAGTAATTTAAAATGATTTAAAAAAAAAAAAAAAGACACTGTTGCCAAAGAGAAGATCTCTTTGCTTGGAAAAAAAAATGCGTTTAGAAAAAGATAAATAGAAAGAAGATCTATTTTTATAAATGATAATTAAAATAATAATTATTGAAGAATTTTTACAAGAATCTGGATTTGAAAAAAAAAGAGACAAATATTTTGACTGGCTAACTGGGGGGCCGGGGTGGGCGGGAGGGGGCACCACCTTGTCTTGTCGTTCTGCCGTGGTACTTTATAGGATCAGAGATTGTTGTTTTTTGGTGAAACCGGGTTTGGTCGGGATTTTGTAGAAAGGAGGATTTTGTGAAAAAGACGATGCAAATGGAGGCAGGTGATTTTGGTAATTTTTTCACGTGTACTAGTGCATAATTCAACAGCGATACCCAAAAGGGAAGGGAAAGGGGTCTTTCCGAGGCCTAATAAACCTTATAGTCCAGAGCCCAAAGCAAGAAGACCCTTTTGTCCACTTGTTTTCCTGATTTTAGTCACAAGTCAATATGAGATACATAGATATATACACATCTATCCATTTAAAGAGCATATCTATTATCTATATCATTTTCTTTGCTCTACGTTTGTGAACTTAACATTTGAAGAGAACTTCCTTTAGCGATCAACCGTAGGTGCTATACTACATTATTCACATATCTTAAATATCCAACTTTGTTGTTCTATGTGTTGTTTAAAGAAAAATACTTTGATGTTGGCATTAAATTTAGCTGCTGTTCTTTGTTTAATATTTGTTTAATGTCGGCCCACGAATCTAGTGAGACCATTTCAATGCGGAAGTTAAACTGACTTGGGGCCTTGTAAGAATCACTGAACAAATTTGTACTTTTCTTTTTCTTTCTTTGTTTTGTTTTGCTTGCTGACTTTTAGGTTACTTGCTGAGCGTGATACGTTTGTCAAAATTTAATGATGATTAGCTAGTTCTGTTAGTCTAGATATTTTCCTTAAAAAGGATCTATGACAACTGTGTCTTTATTTGCTGTGTACAAATAGATGATATATATAAATATATATACAGTCTACATTTGTTTTACAATATCTACTGTACTTATCTGAGTTGTCACTGTTCTTTCGTTTGAGCTTGTCTTTTTCATATGACAGTTTATTATAAAGTGGTGGTTGAGTTATTTAGAAAACGATTGTGAGGAAACTGTTCAATTGTTGTCATGTTGCTTGTGGAGAAAAAAAATTGGATTAACTTTTAAGTTAACTACTGCAGCAAAAGAAACTGAACAAAATCTTAAAGATATAAGTGTATTTGTTTATTTACTTATCTATTTTTAAACTATTTATTTTTTCTATTTATTTGTATTTATTCAATATTTATTAACTTCTTGATTTCTATGTGTATTTATGTATTTATTTGTTTCATTGTCTGTGTATTTGCGTGGTTCTGGTACAGGGAGGGGGGCGTTTCTGAGCAAAAGGGAACAAAGCGACTAGTGGAGAGGCTCATCCAGTAGTCCACTGCACTGAGAGAACTTTTAGTACATTTGTGCTTTGTACCAATATATCAAAATTACAATATAAAAAACCTAAAAGTCAAGAAAACTGAAAAAAATGTTTGGAGGGTTGGGGGACGCTCTTCCCTTATTACTAGAAACAGTTACTCGCTATGCATAACCTAGTTAATAGTTAAATTTGCTATTGCTTTTTTCCTTGTCTTGTTAAAAATGAAATCTCTAGATCTTTTTCAATAAAGTTTAGTCTTATTAGAATGTTATAAACAGTTGTTCTGGTTCAATATAACCTGTGATAAGTTTGTGTAGTTCTAAAAAAGCCACTCCGTCCACACCCTCCCTCCACTTACTACCGCTTTGTGATGAAACCTTATGCAAAAATGTGGGTCTGAAAGCATAGTTTTCAGTTTTCTGTTACAAATAAGAATAAGAAAAAAAAAAACATTTTAACGTACAGCTCTTAGAGACTTTGGTAGAATTCAATTTTTTTGAAGTTTTGATTGAGGGCCATTCATTGCACTGGACTAAACAAATCATTTAAGAGTCAAAACTTATTTTAAGAATATTCATCATGTTTTCAAATGACACACCAACAAATCTTTTAAAAAGTTGTTACAATTGCACACAAACTGCTATTTGCAGCAGTTGTTGCTATATTTGAGAAAAACTCTGGAAGAATAAAAGGGGATTGTTCTGAGTCTATATTTTATATAATCTAATATGATATATATTGTATATTTTGAAAGGTAAGGGAAAGGTTCCAGAAGTATAAATACAAATAATTTTTTTTCCCGTTTGTTGTTGAGGCTTGAAAACATGAAGGAAGTGTGTTGGGGAGCATTTGAAACTTTCACACGCATAGCTACATCCTTCTCTCCCATCTGGAAAAGCCAGGTCATCTCGATATCATCATACCCATTTTCCTATCACGTCTACACAGCAACAGACCAACCAGACCCCTTCATGCTCCTCACTTGCGTCGGGAGCCTGAATTATGCAACGACCCCAGTAGAATGTTCTGATGTGTGTATTTCGTACTCTGTGTGACTTTTTCAACTCTTAGGATGTGTGAATGTCTTCCCGACCTAAAACCCAAGACGTGCACATTTGTTTGGATGCACATCTGTGCACGTTTGTTACTTTTTGTCGAAGTGAATGTGTCTGTCCGCATACTGGAGTAGATTTCTGTGTGAAGTGAAAACGTTTTAAATGTATTCATTCAGTGCACATCCTTGAACATGTCTGAGTGACCATGTGATGGAGATTTCAAAGAGTGAATGTTAAGTGTGTCTGTGTGTGTTTGAAACATGGGGCTGCGTCACCTCGCTCTATGCCCGACCCCTATGGCTCACACCATCCCCCCATAGCGCCTTATAGTGGCAACCTGCCAGTAGGAACAACGCAGCCAGTAGTGGAGGAGGGAAGGTGAACAGAGGAACTAGGCTCTTGTCAGTTTTCATTTTCCTCCTGAGACGTGTTTATTTACTATCTGAAAAATCTATAAAGAAAATCTTTAAAGACAAAAAAGATGAAAAAATGTTCACAGGGCCCCGTGACCACGGCTCTCTCTACTCTCTCCTGCTTATGTTATTAACACTTATCAATGATGATTATTATGATTATTATTGCTATTATTCTTAGTATTCTTATTATTAATCCAATTACTGCGATGAATGACTTCATGTTATCCTTGCTAGTTTAGGTCATTTCTGAAACTGGAAACAAAATAAAAATCTTGCTGTAAATGTTTGTTTTTTCTTTTTCATAAAAATGTTGTGTTTAAATTATTTGTACTTTTGAATGTTGGGACAATAAAATGAGGTGTTAAAAACTTGGAGGTTGCTTGTCATTAAGAAATTAACTTTCAGATTCTTCAACAATCATATGAGGATAACATTAATATACATTAGGGTAGCACAATGTAAAGGCTAGAAGAAATTGCAATATTTTTCTTTTTACGTAACATTGTGTTGGTAAAGGATGCAGACATGGTGGTTTTAAGCAATGCAAATTATCGATCAATGAATTCATCCAAAGTTGATTGAACTTAAATACTGACTGAATAATCAAATAGATGTAAATGTAGGCAGCACAATCTAAAACTATCATATAAAGACTTGGCATGTTGCTCTGACCTGCTGTCATCTTATAGTTATTTGTTTTTGGTTTAATCAAACAAACTGGTGGAAGAGACTTTTTCCTGTTGCTTGCACTTTTAAACGGGTAGTTCCGGTTACTGTCAGGGGAATGTTAATACTTGACTCCATAAGGTGCATTAGACTACAAAAACCTTCACAATCTGCAATGCTTTGGAATGTTGCTAGAATTGCTTTTTCTATCATTATATACATTTTTTTAGTAATACCCTCCCCTTTTCTGTCAACACATCCTCGTCTTCAAGCAGAGAAGTTGATGCTGCTCTACCGCGCAGCATGGCTTAATGGGCAATATCTTAGCGATGCATTCAACAATTGCTTATGTTTAAAAACACATGAAGCACGTTCTTCATCCTTTTTGACATTAACCAGAGTAAACAATCCTGAACTGGACAATCGGTTGGTTCATGTTTCTGCTTTAGCATGGCTCTCTCCATTCCTTCATTCCTTCTCTTCTGAATAACAGTCAGGCTCTGCTTCATAGTAAACATCAGCACCCTCTGCTACTTGGCTGTAACATCACAGCACTGAAAATAAGTACTCTTTATAAATTGATGGAATACATTAAAATTGAAGGAAAGAATTTGAATTTAATAAACCATCAATCGAAAATGCATTGTAAGTTACTTTGCTAGTTGTAAGTTTCAAATGCATTAAAGCTTAACATATATCAAATACTGTATATTTAAAGGAACTTTGCTCTACACAAGAAATACTGCCATGACAGAAAATAGAACTAAAATCATCTGCAAAAACTGAACTTTACACATATATTATGCTAACTTGTAAAAACATAAAATATATTTAAAGTTTAAATGCTGGTGGGAGAATAAAAAAAACTGCAAGTTAAGAAAAGCTGCTACCTCCGGAAAACAGAAGCAGTCCTTTACCAGGTCCACAACATTTTCATCCACTAAACATTTGTACATTCATATATGACTCTATATAGGGGTTAGGTTGGAGGTTCAGACACAGCCTTTGCTTTCCCTTCTTTTGTTGATGATGGAGCAATGATACTGTCAGTTCTCCTTTCTCCAGGGTTTAATAATAACACTGAGACGCTGGCATTCACATTCTTTAACTGGTGGTTGCAATTAATAAGTAATATGAAGACCACCCCAACAAGATTGCATTTCAGACAAAATTGAAATTTAGCATTAGCAACTGCTGTATGAACATAGTTTTAAACTGGTTAATGAGAGAGTTTGAGTGTTTAAAAAGGTTAACAGGAAAATATACCTTTACTTTCTTCTTCCCTCCTTTAAGCGCAGGCATCCTGTATGTTTTTACTACTGGTTCGACTCCATGGACATTGATGTCTATGGTCTAGTTTAATGATGATCCAAAGTACTTTTTAGATGAAAGTGCAGTTTACTTTTCCATGTGGAAATGAATGTTGTAGAGTCTTGACAAAGACTGAGAGGGGATATGTTTTATGTTGCTTTATGTACAAGGGAAGTCTCCACACACTGTGATGATTTGGAGAAGCCATTAGCTGATGTCCCACCATGTTTCCTGAAGTCAACAGTCAATGAAGGCATTTGCCAAGAAATTATAGAGCACCTTTTGTTGACAAGCTCCACTGATATGGTGATTTCATCTTACAGCAGGACCTGGACCCTGTCTACACTCCTTAGGCTACCAAAAGCAGGTTCAATGATCATGTTCACTGACCAGTAAACCAGCTGGCCATAAACCCCATAAAGAATGCATTAGTTTAGGGTTTGGTTGACCAAGAGATAGATAAAATACACCTGACAAAACAATGCTGATGGACTAAAATAAGGTATAAAGGCAAGCTGTTGCTGTGCCACAAGCTAATTGCCTCCATGACATGCTTCAGTGATGCAGTATATTATGTCCTTATTTGGCCCAATTACGTATTTTGCACATAACGGTCTTACATTTCTGTTTATGGTATAATTTATCAGAGGATTTAAAAAAATATTTAACTTATATAATAAATTATAATTGTTTGAGATGAGCCTGCCGATCAGGTCTTTTAATAAGTGTCTGAAACTGGCAAAATATAGAAACCTGTCCAATGAGATTGATAATGGGTTTTTACTTTCTGGACCTAAATTATCCACCATTTGTGAGCAGAGATAAAATCATATACACAATTTTGAGCAAAACAAGCTGTAAAAAAAAAAAATGGATTTACAGAAAATATAACAAAGGCAACAAAATAGAAATATTTGTCTGCAGCTTGAAACACTCAAACCAAATATCAATTTATATATTTAAAGGTATTGTGTAGGATTTTCTTGAATTCTTTAAAAGACTGTCCACTTTTTTTAAAAATGTACTCACACAACCCTGCACCCGCTCCCGAGAGGGAACGCCTACTTGTGCACGCTGTGTTTGAAAGTTGCTGTTTGCATAGCTCATGCAAGCTTTCTCCGAACGTCCGCCCTAACCCCTAAATCCGTCAATTATATATAGAGTGCAGACTATATAGAGGACTTTATAGTGAACTCAGTTAATGTACAGTTCGAACAGATGACCACTACTTTTTGTTCCCTGTTGACACGTAAGTCCTCACAGTGCAGTGACTTCTTTTCTTCTCATGCACTTCATAGACACTTTTTCTCTTACAATTCTCAGCCATTTTTGAAGAACCGCAGTGAGAAAGGTAAGCTTCAATGACTAGCCGATACCATAGCTCACCACGGATATGCCTGAAGGTGCGCATGTGCAGAAAATGATAGCTAACGGGGTAAAAAAAAAAGCATATACAACGGCCTTATGTAAACACATCACCAGAATGATTGACAATTAGGAGGACCACTTATTTAGATGATCCACCCAAAAATAAAAGATTGTCCTCTATACCTCTATCCCTCTGTGGAATAGACAAAACCACTTTATTAAACTTATGCACCGTTAATGCTTCTGAAGTTATTTGCTGTGCAACATATCATCAAAACCCAAAACTGATATCACTTTTATGTCGATGATGAAGTGTATGTTAATTTCTAACAGGACAACTGTAAAACATGAAGCTAAGATTTGTTTGTTGAAAGTCTTTTGATCAAAAACAATACAACTAAGAACTCAGTTTAAATTAATTTGTGTTGTTAAAAAGCAGATGTTTAAGTTTCTGCCCTGCAAGATTAACCCTTTTTTGTCTCTCAAGGTTTGAAATTAGTTTTTCCACACACCAAAAGTGCAACATTATATCACACGTTTAATGTGTTTTGAGTGTGACCTTTAAGCTACTGAGACGGTCATGATTGTGAGGTAGTAACAGTGCAGACATAAAACGCACCGTTGATCTCAGTGAGACCCTCTAAGGAGAAGCTGGAGGACAAACCGG